TAGAAGGTATTTATGCTCTTTCAAATGTTTTAGGATCAACAACAATTCGATCATTTTTTTCATAATCAATATGATGACCTTTGTTTACTTATACATCTATTTATATGAAATGATCTTAATAATTTACAATTATTACTCGATAATAATAATAATTTAATGTTTTGAAGTAAAGAAAAGAAAAGATATTTATTATGTTTCTTTGAATTCTTTCTTTTTATTTGAATATTTATCAGATCTTAACAAATAACTTCACAAGCATCATTTTTGTTGGGTAGAAGATTATTTTCTATAATTGATATTTCAGCTTTCGTAGAAGAAAGGAGTTCTAAAGTTTTAGATTTGAAGAATGTGTTAGATCATGTCTTGTCTGAATGAATTCATTTGTTTTTTTGTTTTAGAGAATGATAAAGACTCATCAATAATATCAAACACAAATAAAGATACAAAAGTTAATTTTGAATGATTACTTTCAACAACATTATTTTATATAAAATCAGTTTTAAGTCTTATTTCTACACAAGATTTATCAAAAAATTTGAAAGAAACACTTAATCATTTTAAATCAACGTTCAATGTACAAAAGAGGTAAAACTTCTTTTAAATAGTACATATTAGTTAGAAAATTTCAGTTACTAATCTTCTTCTACTAATCAGTTGAGCTAAAACCTTTAGGATGTCGTATTGGGTCTGAACCAGAGACTGGCTAGCAAGGCAAAAACGTTTATCCTATGCCAAAAAAATTAAAAAAAAGGCTAATTCCAGTTTAGTTTTTCTGATTAAACAATCGATTAAAATGCGAATGTTTTTAGTCGATTTTAATCGAATTATTTCATCTTCAATTCATTTTGATTGTCATTTCACAAATAATTTTTAATGAATTATACCTTGCTTATAAAATGAAGTTGATTAGAAATGTAATCGAGTTTTTTTTTCTGCTACACGTCTTAAGAAATCTGAATATGAACTGACTACTTCCTTACAAATTTGATGAGCACAGAAAAAACTACAAGAAAGAAAAGTTGCCTTTCATTCAGAAGACCTAATTTTAACCGACGAAATTAAAAGATGGTCGATTTTTATCAAACATAAGTCAAGAATAGAAGATCATATTTTATGTTAGAAGACCACGACGCACTAAAAAAATGTCATAAAGCATAACAGAAGACATATGAGTTCTTAAAAATTTTATGTCGAAAATTCTGCTGACTTTATGAAATTCAGCACAACGAAACTTTGTTTTTCAGTTATAACTTTATTTTTGCATTATAGGAAAGAATAAGTATAAATAAAAATAAATCTTTATATTTATAAAATGAAGATAGATGAATTATTTATTTTTGAAAATTAAAGAATAAAGAAAGATTTGTTATCTGATAGATAAATAGACAAATACATAGTATAACAACTGGATATGTGAAGCAATATTCTTTCTTGCCATGTGCTACTCGGTGAAAAATTAAAGATGAAATTCTCATAGAAGAGGTTTCTTCATTATTTATTTTTTGTTTTCTTTACTTTATATAAAGGTGGTCAATAAGAAAAAAATCTATATTTTTATTTTGTAAATATGAAGATTTCATTTATCTTAATTTTTTTTAATTTTTATTTTTGGAAAAATAAAAAAATTTATAATCTTTATTTAAAAAATATAAAGAATTTACTGATGTTTTTTTTATAAATATAAAAATCATACTTATATTTATTAAATAAAATAAAGTGAAAAAAACGTGACCCTAGTAAAAAAACATATATTGTTTTGCGATTAAAATTACTTTCTTCTTTTTTCTAGCACGGGGTTTAGTGACTAAAAGCATCTGAGAATATCATTATTTTATTAAAACTTAAAATCTTGCAATAGACATACTCACTTTATAAGTATTATTCTACTCTGTCTACGCCCTATGTCCAGTTCTTAGGGCAGGTCAAGAAAAGAAATACTCTGTGATAGTCTCTTATCCAAGACTTGTCTGTGGACAGAATTTTAGATGGAAATCTTATAATCAAGATTTCAGGAATGGTCTAATCCAGAAAAAGAAAATTTCAATATAAGAATATCATAGTAACAGAAAAACTGATTTTGCATATATTGACGGTTTTAATGAGAGAATAGTTTATTGTGAAAGTGCCACATTTTTTCATTTGGTTCTCTCTTGATATTCGAAATTTGAAAATTATTTTTTTCTGTTAACACAACATTCATTTGAAAACATTCTTTTAATTTAGTTTT